AGGGACTGTATCCATGGCGGTTTTGTAGGGCTACAAAATTGGTGCGTTAGGATGACAAGCATACCTTTCTTGCTGGGTTTATGTAGAAATAAGCTCCTGCTCTTATTCTTTCTACCCATTATTTAGCTCTTGGATTCATTTTTCTTCATGATGTTAATTCATAGATTTTTATGTTAATTGGGTTACCTAATTAAAATATCTATAGCTGTAATGATACAACATCAGAAACAGAAAAATAACATCTATAATTTTCCCATTTTATTCTGAAAACAGGTGAATTAGAATGAGATAAAGCAGAAGCAAAAAATATCTACATATATATAAGAGCCTAAGCAACTGGTCGACCTTTCCCTGCAGGGCCAAAACCAGCAGCCTGACATCTCCCAAGGGGTCCTGGATTGCGAGAGGGCACAGACCAGGCTGAGGGACCCCACCAGTGCACGAATCCGGGCACCAAGCCTCTAGTACAGTAATGTTTTCCCTGGGACTTTTGTTTGTTGCACATTTCTAACACATCCTTTTGGTGATTTTTGTCACTTTCTCTGATTGAGAAGTTAGCAATTACAAAAGCATTGAGAGAATTCTGTATTTGTAGGTTTTGTAAGTTAGCTATCCTATGTAAATCCTTTCTCTGCAATAATCCTAGAACGGTGATAAAATTAATTTTAAACATTACTGTCTAAGGAAGGGTATAAAGTGGGACTTTATTGAGCACTTACTTTGTGCTAGGCATTCTAAAAAGTCCTTCTTGACCTGGCTATAACTCTTTTGTCTAATCTCCCAGCACTCCTCTTATGTACTCCCACTGAACATAGTCTAACAAATATGTGTCAAAATGTGTTCCAGGCCTAGCCTGTTTGGCTCAGTGGATAGAGTGTAGGCCTGTGGACCTAAGGGTCCTGGATTTGATTCCAGGCAAGGGCATATACCATACAGTTGCAGGCTCCTGCCCAGCCGGCCTGGTCGGGGTGCATGCAGGAGGCAACCAATCGATGTGTTTCTCTCATATCGATATTTCTCTGCCTTTCCCTCTCTCTTCCACTCTCTCTAAAAACCAATGAAAAAAATATCCTTGAAGTGAGGATTAAAAAAAAAAAGTGTTCCAGATAAATGTGGCTGCAAAACACAAATAAGAGGTACAGTCCCAAAGCATGTGCTGCTATCCTAGTGGACCTAATTTTTTTGCCTACCTGGCCGTGGACATGCTGCTCTCTCAGCCCTGAATGTCCCTGACTCCCTTCCCATTCTTTTCTTGATTAGCTTGTACACTTTCAAGACTCAGGTCAAACATTATTTTCTCTTATGACTCCCAAGCTGGATTTTGCTGTCTTCCCACAGCAGCTGGTATGTAGCAATATCATAGTGTTGGTGGAGGAAAAATTTCCCTCTACCCTTCAA